TCCCCTGCCATTTTGAATGCAACTCTCTTTTTAGTACAAGCTCAGGCTCATGTCCACCTTTGTAGGGCAGGTGATGCCCTCTGCCAGGTGACCCTATTCGTTTTCAGTGTTTCTGTTGTCAGCCCACTCCGCATTGGAGTCCATGCTGTCTGGCTTGGATGGCAAGTTCCTTGCTGCATCCGTGCCTTGCCTTCTCTTGGGAAAATTCCACACTCTTCAAGGACTGAAGCCAGGTGTTGTGTTTCTTTTGTGTCTCCACATAGTGCTGTCACAATGCTGGGACCACAGGTTTGCACATTTATACACATTTACACATTTTACAATTCACATGAGACTCACAAGAGATGCACACATATATGTCAAATGCATTAGGTACACCAGGGGGTGGTGTAGAGCAAAGCCAGCTGGGAAGCATCTGTGTTTGGCACTGACATATGAACCCCATGCTATTTCGATGCTCTGGGAGTTCACAATGAAAAAAACTGAGAATTCGCCCTGGTAAAGTTTTGATGTGAGGTTGGTAAGAAAGCCAGATTCTTCTTCTTCTTCTTTTTGAGATAGGGTTTCACTCTGTCACGCAGGCTGGAGTGCCCTGGCAACGATCTCGACTCATTGCAACCTCCACCTCCTGGGTTCAAGCAATTCTCCAATCTCAACTTCCCGAGTAGCTGGGACTATAGGGGTGCACCACCACACCTGCCTAATTTTTGTATTTTTAGAGATGGGGTTTCTCCATGTTGGCCAGGCTGGTCTCAAACTCTTGACCTCAGGTGATCCACCTGCCTCAGTCTCCCAAAGTGTTGGGATTACAGGCCTGAGCCACTGCACCTGGATGGTTTTTGTATTTTTAGTAGAGATGGGGTTTCACCATGTTGGCCAGGCTGGTCTCAAACTCCTGGCCTCAAGTGATCCACCCACCTCGGCCTCCCAAAGTGCTGAGATTAGAGGTTGAGCCAAGGCGCCCGGCCAGAAAGCCAGATTCTTAAGACAAGGTGTTCCCCAGTATAACTCACATGGAATGTGCTAGAATGAGGAATGGCCTAGGCCTTCCTGAGGATGCTACCTGCTGGGAATTCTGGGCCTAAGGTTTCCAACTTGGTAGCCTTCTTTCCCCCGCCTTCTTCTCCCTCTGAGGCAGGTAAAGTGACGGTTGGCGTAGGCGGCTAAATGTCAGTGGTACACTGTTGGTATTTTCAGATTCCGTTTGCTTCTCACAAAAAACCATTTACTTTAAAGAAATCAAACAGACAGCCATGTGGTGGCAACATTAACATTTATTTGAAAAGGGCATCATGACGGCTCACTGGGAGATCGCGACTGATAGGCCTAGAGAATGATTTTGCTAAGAGTCCTTCTTCCTACACTTCCCCAACACCCCCTTTCCTACTTCCCTAAAAATAGAACTAATCAATCCAATGGGTTTAAAATACAGAAAACCGCCATGGGCACTAATTCTGCACTCACATATAAATACACCATCTATTATGTACACATATTGTCAACTACAAACTACACTACACACACATGCACACACACACACACACACACACACACACACACACACTCAGCCAGGTCGTGAGTCTCTAAGTGGACACAGACACATTACGAGGAATGGGCTGCAGCATTTGTGGATTCACAGCTCTACCTCCACATGCCAGAAATCAGCAGTCACGGGGGGAGAGCTTGGAAGGGGAAGGTGATGGCTTGGGCGGCCCCATGGTCCCCTGAAGAGAAGAGACCTGGCCAGCCAGGCTGGGGCTAAAGGGAGCACAGAAAACTGCCTTTGGCCCCAGCAGGGCCACAAAGCCCTTCCCACTGCCCTCCTGTCCCCACCATACCCCATCTCCCAGATAGCCAGGCTCTAGGACAGGCCCACCATGACCATCCTTCTGCAGTCTTCAGACCTAGGCCAGATGTGGAGTAAGGGGCCACTCAAACCAGAAGATTTCTAGGGTTAATGGGATGAGGAGGCAACACATTGCCCCAAACCTTTCCCCAGGTGTGAGGGAGATGCCTGGTTTCAGCATGACCTGCCTGCCAGGGTCTGGGGTCACAGGAAGTGGGCCTGCCCTGCCCCGATGAAGCCCTCTCCCTGTCTACCTTTCAACCTAGTATCTACCTAACAGCCCAGTCTAGCCCTTTCTGGACCCCAACCGGCTAGCTGCCATTTTCTGGTCATGAAGAGGAATTGGGAAAAATAGTCTCACTTCTCCAGGGCACTCTGTTGCCAGGTCAGGAGGCCTAGGGATAATGGAATGGAAACTGGAAGGCATCATGTCCCAGGGCCCCCAGAGGAGCCCAGAGGCCTGGCCTGAGCTGTTCAGAGAAACTCTCGGCTATTCTGATTCTTGGTCCAGTTGAATTGTGTTCTGTGGGACCTAGAACTGCCAGGGCAAAGGGCAGCACACCTACAACACCTGTGCTTCTTAAAGTACGTTAGTGGGTCCAGGCCTCCTCTTTTCCTGCTCATCCACTTGTATCTGTGTATGAGAAAGAGGGCTGGACAGAGCAGGGTCTCTGGGAACTTTCATAGTTCTGCTGACCTACTCAGGCTCCTTCTATAGTGAGGATGCTGTTTAGGAGTCAAGAAACCACTGATTTCTACTTTTCAAAGAGAGAGGGAAATGGAAACAGGCACAAGGCGCTGGGGTCTCCACGGCAAGGAAAACAGAGGGAGCCTCCGGGGCCACACTGGTGCTTTCTGCTGATCTGCTTCTTATGCATTCACCTGACTCCACCAAATTAACAGAACTTCCAAATCTCAAATACACTCCTGCCTACTCCGTGTGGCCAGCAGAGTGCTGACCAATGCCAGCCCTTCCCCACAGAGCCGCAGTCCTTGGGGCTTTGCGAGCAGCTGGTCTCAATGGGCTTACCGGCTCCTCTTCGCTCAAAATCACAGCAGAGAAGGGCGGCAAGAAGGGGCATGATGCAGTGCCACCAGCCGCCGGGGGCTTGGAAAGCAGGACACGCTGATGCTGGCCCAAGGGCTGGGATATCCCTCCTATCTAGACCCCATCGAACCGCTTTGCCTCTCTCCCAGGGCCTGTGCTGGGGTGAGGAGACTACCTACTCTAACATTCACCTTAACCTTTCTGATTCTGGCATATTTGGCCAGAATCCAGGTTCTACTCCCTGTCAGCAGACAACCTAACACTCTACTGAGTCTAAGTTTAAATGAAACCGAGAAGAGGGCACTCAAAAAATGACAAGTTTTTCAAAAGAAGTACATTTTTGCTAAGCAGCGGTGATGGAAGGAGACACTGCCTGGGGCAGATGGAGAGGGAACAGCAGTCTATGCAGAATGGGAGCCTGCAGCTTTTCCTTCTCTCTATTCACGGGACGGGGATGAGGGGCAGAAACATCTGAGTGGAACTGCAGGTCTCTGTGTCTAATGCTGGGTCTGGAAAGACCCTCCAGGGAGGCGACTGCCAAGTCCCAGAACCAGGGCTCACAAGCAGTGCTCAGGATGAAGCTGCCACGAGGGAGCCCTAATGTCAAGTAGGCCCATGAAACAGAGGGTCTCTCATCCAAGCTGGGCACAGGATAAAACCTGGGAGGAGCCAGTGAGGAAAGGCATGTTTGTGGCTCAAGGTTTCAATTTTCTTTAAAGTTTCTTTCAAAGGTTAGTAGTTGCTGTCAATTTTGAGTTAATTTAAACTTTTTTTTTTTTTCATATAGAAACACTAAAGAGAAGTCTAAGTTCATGCTTGTAAAATTGAGTTGAGCATAGGCCAGGGGCCATAAAGCACAGCCAAAAAGCCCTGGGGGCTCAGGAGCCTCCATGTGCCAAGCTGGGTGCGGTCGCTCATGCCTGTCATTCCAGCACTTTGGGAGGCTGAGGTGGGTGGATCACTTGAGGTCAGGAACTTGAGACCAGCCTGGCCAACATGGTGAAACTCCATTTCCACTAAAAATTTTCTGGGCATGGTGGCACACACTTGTAATCCCAGCTACTCAGGAGGTTGAGGCAGGAGAATCACTTGAAACCAGGTGGCAGAGGTTACAGTGAGCCAAGGTCGTGCCATTGCACTCCAGGCTGGGTGACAGAGCGAGACTCCATCTCAAAAACAAACAAAACAAACAAAAAACAAAACAAGAAAAAGAAGCTGCATGCCCACAGCAGAGATCGTGACCATGGGGAAGAGCTTCATCTGAAGTGCCAAAACTATGGGAATGAGAGTCAAATAACCGCCTCCCCCAGAAATTTATTGCACATATTAATGGGAAATCCTTGTGTTAAGGCTCTCCCGGATTCTGGAAAATACATCCACCTAACAATCAGGCTGTCCCTGTACATCCGTGTGTGCCACGCTTTGGTGGCACACCCCGAGAAGCCTGCCCCCAATCTTAGCAGAAACAGCCTGCTTCTGACTCCATGCCACACTGCCTGAAATTGTATCCTAAAAAGGGATTTCCAGCTACTCAGGAGGCTGAGGAGGGAGAATCACTTAAACTCAGTAGTTCGAGGTCAGCCTGGGCAACATAGTGAGACCCTCATCTCTAAAAAAAAAATAAAAATAAAAAATGGATTCCTTTGGATGGAGAAATCTAGTCACACTGCCTCCTCTGGAAAGGAGACTCCAGGGGGAGAACATGTGACATTCACATCTTACTGTAGGTTATGTCGGCTTGGAAGAGTTATGGGAAATGTGACTAAAGGAGAAGGAAAGGGCGAGTTTGGACCACATGGCACTGCCCAGGGAGGAGGCCGAGGTGAGGCTCTGTCAGGGGCACCCCGGAGGCACAAAGGCACCTGGAAGTTGGCCCGGAAGGGGAACTGGCAAAGAGGGCAGCAAACTGTCTCCTGGGTGGCTCTGCCTGGCTCCACATTAGCTCCTCTCTGCACACCCTCGTTACACAGAGACACAGACGGCACGTCAGGAAAACAAGAACCCAGAAGCCAAAGGAGTCTCCACGGCCCCTCCCAAGTCACAAGTGTTGCCAGATGGTCCCGATATCTCAGACTTTGTCCAGAGAGTGATGAAATCATTCCCATATTTGGTTAGATCCTTCCTTCTTCAAATGGAACATCCAAAAAATTGGCTTCTGATATCCCTGAGCCCCCAAATGCTCATCCCACCCTCCCGACTCTCCTACAACCCAGGTCAGGCTGGGGGTCTCTTCCATAGGAGGTGATGTGGGCAAATCTTGGGCGCCCTGCAATTCCCCTCTGAAATTAGCTTGTTCTGCCTTTCCTCAACCCAGAGGATCCAGGAACACCTTGGGACCCTCAGAAGACATCAAAGAGAACTCAACTCTGAAAAACGTCCAGCAGACAGGACCATGGGAGGCCACCGCAGGCTCCTTCTGAATAAAGGAGGTGAGACGCTGCTGCAGGGACCACACTCTGATGCCACGGCCTCACCTTCTGCCAGCCCTGCTTCCTGTCCTTTGCTGTCCCGCCCCGTGGCATCTCCACCCCAGCTCCTGTAATAAGGGCTCAGCATTCATTAATAGAAGAAACATAAACAGACAACTGGGGGATGAGCAAGAGAATGGGAGACACAGCAGGGACGTGGGCTGGGAGTGGGGGAGGCTCCAGAGGAGACAGCCGATCCGCTCTCAGCTTCCTTCCCTAGGGGCCCATCACTTCCTCTCACCAACCAAGTCTCCATCCAGCTCCCTCCTCTGGGGAGGACATGCGCCCCCATGGAAGCCCTTTACTCAAAACACCAAGTGGGAGCTTCCCCGCCCCCATCCCCGGCTTCTCTCTGGAGACACCCCACGATTCTCTGCCCCTGGCTGCCACAAAAGAGAAGATGAAGGGCAAAGGTGAGACACGTATTGGTGAGATCTCCCTTGGGGAAGACGAGGAGGAGGTAGGAGGGCCAAGAAGGACCAGAGTCTCCACCTTGGCTTAGCCCGGGGGGCACTGCCATCCAAGGTGACGTTTTCTTGGAGATCCCAGCCAGATCTCCATGGGGTTGGGGTGGGCGTGAGGTGAGCCCCTCCCTCAGACCCCATCCCCTTGAGGAGCTCCAGCTCTTGGAATTCAGTATACACACAGATCGGGAAACTTCATTTCGTAGACCGGGATGGAGTGGTTCTGCGGCTGACCGTAGGCTGCAGTGATGGTTCCTGATGGGCTTGGTGGGGGCCTAGGGGCAGGAACACGTGGGGAGAAAAGCATGAAAAGGAAATTTTAGGGTTCCACCCTTGTGCAACTAAACAGTAGGTGACTTAGGTTTCTTTTTGCACAGGGACCAGAGACCCATTCATTCCACAGGTTCCCAGCTTTCCAAGTTGTACTAGAATCTACAGCTTGGAGTCAAGCTTCTCTCTGCAGGCTCCACAGTGATGCTGCTGCTTTAGAACAAGCCAGCCTGGGATACGAGGACTCTTGGGTCTTTCCAGGTCTCATTGAGCCAGGTTCCTTCCCTCTCTATTCTCTGTTTCCTCGTCTAGGGAGGGTTGGAGTTGGTGGCTGACTCCACCCAGGAAATAGAGATTGCAGTGGGGTGGGAGGAGGGGGAGGGGAGGAGGGAAGACAGGGGTGAGAGAAGGACTTAGGATGAGGAACCCCAATACTGGGCCATAGAGGTCAGGGTCCCCCGCCCAGGGTTGCCACTTACCGGATGGTGATTTCGAAGATCTGATTGAGTTTGCTCTGGAGCAGCGATGCCTATACACAAACAGGGGGAAGTGAGGTGGGGGGACCCAGAACCTCTGCCGGCTGGCTTAGATGTCCCGAGTATGCGCTGGAGGTGCAGGGTGGCCACAGCCTTAGGAAGGCAGGCGGAGGTGAACACACTCCAGCACTCCTCCACTGGACCCTGACTACGGATTCAGGTCTGGGAAAGCCACCTACTGAAGGCTGGCTGGGGACAGGACAGAGGCTCAGAATCGCCAGGGGGGCCATCAGCTGGCAGTTCTTGAAGGTCCTTCTCCTTAAGATGGGGCAGCGGGGCTGCTGGGCATGGAGTTGGGAGACTATGCCAGTGCCAGCTCTTTTCTTTCTTAAAAAAGTTAATTTAGTTTAATTTTTTCATTGAGACAGAGTCTTGCTCTGTCACCCAGGCTGGAGTGCAGTGGCACAACCTCAGCTCACTGCAACCTCCACCTCCTGGGTTCAAGCAATTCTCCCAACTTAGCTTCCTGAGTAGCTGGAATTACAGGCACACACCACCACGCCTGGCTAATTTTTTGATTTTTAGTAGAGATGGGGTTTCGCTATGTTGGCCAAGCTGGTCTCGAAATCCTGACCTCAGGTGACCTGTCCACCTTAGCCTCCCAAAGTGCTAGAATTACAGGTGTGAGCCACTGTGCCCAGGCTGTGCCAGCTCTTTTCTAACTCACAAGGAGTACTCTGCAAAACTGGTGGCGTAGAGATGATCTCTGATTCCTTCTGGCTCTAATGAGGTCAATGAATGCAGAGAGTGGGACTGCACGTGTTCAGTAACTGGGCCCCAGTTCCTAGCTCATGAAATAGGCATCCCTCTCAAAGTGGGATGAGATGTTAGAACCAGGCAGGCCCGGGAAAATCATGCCTCACTTACCCGTGCCCCACAGTGTGCGGCAATCTCCTCAAAGGGTGCCTTCTGGAACTTCTCCACCACCTGTCGCCGCCGCTCACGCTCCTGCTCCTCCACGGCTACGCTGTCCACTGCGACGCAGAGAGCCAGGTCAGTGCCAGGCCCTGCTCACTGAGGGGAAGGGGAGGGACTCCTTCGAGGAGCACCATCCATGAGCACTGCTTGAACCCTCCCCTCTTCTGAAGAGTAGGGGACAGTGGCATGGAGGTGTAGTGCCCTCACTTGGCCCTGGAAGGCGGGACGTCTTTCTGATTCTACCTGAGGGCTCAGCCTTCTTCCTTGTGTAAGAGTTTGAGAAATATGTAGGAGGAACTTTCAGCGGGGCTCTTACAGCCCCAAGTAGTTGCTCTCCCACCAGGACTTTTAAATTGAAGGTCCAGAGCAGTTGGTCCTTTGAGTGCTCTGTGGGTTTTTTTTTTTTTTGAGACAGAGTCTCACTCTGTTGCCCAGGCTGGAGTGCAGTGGCACAATCTTGGCTCACTGCAACCTCTGCCTCCCAGGTTCAAGCAATTTTCCTGCCTCAGCCTCCCAAGAAGCTGGGACTACAGACGCACGCCACCACGCCCGGCTAATTTTTGCATTTTTAGTAGAGAAGGGGTTTCACCATGTTGGCCAGGATGGTCTCGATCTCTTGACCTCATGATCCGCCCGCATCGGCCTCCCAAAGTGCTGGGATTACAGGCTTGAGCCACCATGCCCAGTCTTCTGTGGGCATTTTGAAAAGGGACATTGAGGCTGGGTGTGGTGGCTCACACCTGTAATCCCAGCACTTTGGGAGGCTGGGGCAGGCAGATCACCTGAGGTCCGGAGTTTGAGACCAGCCTGGCCATCATGGTGAAACCCCTTCTGTACTGAAAATACAAAAATCAGCCAGGTGTGGTGACACGCACCTGTAATCTCAGCTACTTGGGAGGCTGAGGCAGGAGGATCGCTTGAACCAGGGAGGTGGAGGTTGCAGTGAGCCGAGATCACGCCATTGCACTCTAGCCTGGGTGACAGAGTGAGACTCTGTCTCATAAAAAACAAACAAAAAAAGAAAAGGGACATTGACAATGGCAAAGCCACACAGATCATGAAAACCAATGTGGAACAACTGTGGCAGGGCAGCCCGGGGCCATTCAGTTTAAGGATTCCACATGCACTGCTTGGTGTCCAAGATGAGTTAGCACCAAGAAGAAAAAGGGGTATGTGCCGCATATGCCCATCATACTGTTGTTTTTTTTTTTTTTTTTTTTTTTTTTCAAATAGAGCTGGGGTCTTACTATGTTGCCCAGACTGGTGTCAAACTTCTGGACTCAAGTGACCCTACTGCCTTGGCTTCTCAAAGTGCTGGGATTACAGGTGTGAGCCACCATGCTGGGCCCATACTCAGTTTAAGAAGGTAAGAAATGGCTGGGTGCAGTGGGTTATGCCTGTAATCCCAGCACTTCAGGAAGCTGAAGCAGGCGGATTGCCTGAGGTCAGGAGTTCGAGACCAGCCTGGCCTATATGGTGAAATCCTGTCTCTACTAAAAATAGAAAAATTAGCCAGGTGTGGTTGTAGGTGCCTGTAATCCCAGTTACTCAGGAGGCTGAGGCAGGAGAATCGCTTGAACCCAGGAGGCAGAGGTTTCAGTGAGCCAAGATTGTGCCACTGCATTCCAGCCTGGGTGACAGAGCAAGATTCCATCTCAAAGAAAAAAGAAAAAATTTATAGGAAAGAAATGTGTATATTCAGAGAGACTACCATTAATGATGACAAAAATTTTAAAGTTTGGCATTTATAGGCATAATTTGTCAGCAGTTAGAAAAATACGTTGTTGTCCAATGATCCAGGTAGCGGGGAACAATGCATTTCAAAATTTACTTCCCTTAGTAAACAGACATTCATATGATTCATTCTTAATATCTTCCATTGGCCAGCTTGTTCTTTTGTATCACACTTCACCAAAAAAAGAAACAATTTACTCCAAATTGCTTTCTACCTACAGCTGTCAACCGGTTACTTTTAAAGGCCTCTGTCCTTAGTAACAAAAGGTTTGCCCACTGTGGGCCACACTACCGACCCCATCAGGAGAGCAGAGACTTTCAGTGACAGCTTTGGTGGCTGTGATGAGTTTGTCGAAAGCCACCAGCCTCTCCCCTCACTCGGGTGCTGTATCCCACCGCGGAGGGTGGTGGATCCAGCTGCTTCTGCAGGAGCAGGCCCAACGACCCCACCCCATTCTGCCCTCTAAGCAGAGTCCCTCGGCCCCAACTTACCAATGGCTTTCTTCAGCGTCTCATAGGTGATCTCCTCGGCAGGCACTCGCTGAAGAAGGGACAGAGATGCCCAGAAAGGCAGTGAGTGGGGGAAGGAGGCAGCCCTGACACCCCCTGCTCTCTGGCAGCCCCTTGCTTCTTAGAACAAAGTCCCAGTGGGCAGGAAGTCCCTCAGGACACCCCCAGCCCCATCAGGGTCTCGGAAGCTCTCTGAGCAGCACAGAGGACAGAGAAATACAGCGGGGAAGCTCATTCCTCACCAGATTCAGACTCAGAACAGAGTCCTGAGTCTCATGTAAAAGAATACACTGTTCTCTGCCCCCTCCTCAGGACTGTCCCATCAAGCACTATGGGAGGAAAATACTGCAATTTTATTTTATTTTTTTGGTTTTCTTTGAGATGGAGTCTCGCTCTGTTGCTCAGGCTGGACTGCAGTGGCGTGATCTCGGCTCACTGTAGCTCCACCTCCTGGGTTCAAGTGATTCTCTTGCCTCAGCCTCCTAAGTAGCTGGGATTACAGGTACATGCTACCATGCCTGGCTAATTTTTATATTTTTAGTAGATATAGGGTTTCACTATGTTGGCCAGCCTAGTCTCAAACTCCTGACCTCGTGATCTGCCTACCTTGGCCTCCCAAAGTGCTGGGATTACAGGCGCGAGCCACTGTGCCAGGCCAGTACTGCAATTTTAAAACATCTTCAGAAAACACATCGGAAAATATTGGAAGCCAGAGGAGAGAGGTGACAAACAGAATCTTAAATGTAAATTTCAAGAACTGTTTATCAGTTCTGAAATCTTAAAAGTATTAAATCACCAACCAAGGCGACTTGAGCATTTAGTAAAGATAAGAAATGGAGGGTTAGAAGTGACAGGCCTGGTGCAGTGGCTCATGCTTATAAGCCCAGCACTTTTGAGAGGCCAAGGTAGGCAGATCATGAGGTCAGGAGTTCGAGACCAGGCTGGCCAATATAGTGAAACCCTTTCTCTACTAAAAATATGAAAATTGGCCAGGCATGGTGGCACACAATTGTAATCCCAGCTACTTGGGGACTCTGAGGCAAGAAAATTGCTTGAAACCGGAAGCTAGAGATTGCAGTGAGCTGAGATCATGCCATGCCATGGCACTCCAGCCTGGGCGACAGAGAGAGACGTCATCTCAAAAATAAATAAATAAATAAAAGAAGTGACAGGGCTCCCTTGACTACTGAGGTTCCAAGGAGTTGCCCCGCTCAGTCCTCTGCAGAGCCTATAAAAGGAGGTGAAAAATAATAAAACTCAAAGAAGGGAACTCCATAGATGCTGAAAATAGTAAAGGAATTTGGACTAAATTCCAGAAATTACTTACTAGACAATGAGCTATTAGACCTATGAGTTACTCATGCTCTATCTTTTTTTTTTTTTTTTGAGATGGAGTTTCACTCTGGTTGCCCAGGCTGGAGTGCAATGGCACAATCTTGGCTCACTGCAACCTCCACCTCCCAGTTGGTTTCAAGTGATTCTCCTGCCTCAGCCTCCCCAATAGCTGGGATTACAGGTGGCCATCACCACACCTGGCTAATTTTTTGTATTTTTAGCAGAGACAGGGTTTCACCATGTTGATCAGATGGTCTCAAACTCCTGACCTCAAGTGATCCGCCCGCCTGGGTCTCCCAAAGTGCTGAGATTACAGGCGTGAGCCACTGCGCCAGTCTCACACTCTATCGTTTAAATGTAATCTTAAGCAAAAGCAGCAGACACAGAAGAGGATGATTTCACTGATGAAAAGTTCAAGAAGTAACGCAACTCAGGCTTGGGGCTCCCTTAGGGGAGGAGGCACAGAGGCAGGGCCCACTCTTTCATCCGGGCGTGACTGCACGGGCATATATACTTGATGAAAATTCACGGAGTTGTGCAATATTTGATTTGTTTGGCATTTTTGTTTGAGTAGGAGAGGACAGAAGTATAGATATGAGATAAAGTCATTCAACAAACATTAAGTGAGCACCAACTACATGCAGAACTCCAGGTGAGTCCATAGAAACTGCACAATTTGTTAGCATAGGAGTTATACGAAAGAGAGAGCTGTGCTGGGCCTTAACTCCCTCTGAGGACTTATCCTCTGTACACCCATCCATTCCTCCACTGTCAGCACCGAGCAACGTGCTGCTGGGTGCTGGGGAACTGTGTGGTGGCAACAGTCAAAGAAAAGGCCGCTCTCTGGGCAAGAGAGCAAGGATGCTCACTGGGCAAGAGCAGGGAGAGAGGAGTTTATGGAGGAAACTGAACGGGGGCTGGGCGCTGGGAAGTCATCAGTTCACAGGTGCTCAGCTGCTCCTGTGTGGAGGCGAAGGTGGTTCAGACGTGGCATTCTGCACTAGCAAAGGCCTGGAGATGGCTGAGCACAGCAAAGGAGAGACTGACAGCAGCTCCACCAGAGTGGGAAAGCAGATACAGGTGGCAGAAAATGAAATGGTAGAGCCCAGACTATGAATGGCTGGGAATGCCAGGCACCAGGATGGAGATGTGACCAAACCAGCATTTATTCACCACTGCAGCGAGCCTGGCAGTAAGGCCATAGGAACCACTGTGGGACTCTGGGCTGGCACACGATGGCTGAGGGGGAAGAGAACTGTGGCATGGCAGATGGGCACAGGATGAAGGCCCCTGTACCCCTGCTTTGCCACCAAGCCAATTCTGGGCTAAGCTGTCTCCTTTTTTTTTCTGAGATGAAGCCTCACTCTGTCACCCAGCCTGGAGTGCAGTGGCGCAATCTTGGTTCACCGAAGCCTCTGCCTCCTGGGTTCAAGTGATTCTCCTGCCTCAGTCTCTTGACTAGCTGGGATTACAGGTGCCTGCTACCACACCAGGCTGTTTTGTATTTTTAGTAGAGACAGAGTTTCACCATGTTGGTCAGGCTGGTCTCAAACTCCTGACCTCATCATCTGCATGCCTTGGCCTCCCAAGGTGCTGGGATTACAGGTGTGAGCCACCATGCCTGGCCTAAGCTGACTCTTGAAGGGAGGAAGGAGCTGATACTGGTGGCCCAAGAGGCCACTAGTGAGGAGGTGCTCTGTAGTGGCGTAAGCATTTCGCCTCCTCCTGCATCACTTGACTCCTCAATTCCCAAGGATCTCTTACCTCTTGGGAAGGGAGAATCACCACTATGGGCAGAGAGAGCCACCAACTCACCTCGACCCCTAACACATTGGAGGTTCCCAGTCTTTGGAGCTGGAAGGGCCATGGAGGACGCCTTGTTCAACCTGATTTTACTTGTCCAATTAGCCCAAGTCAGAGCTTCCTTCTGTGGGAAAGTTCTGGATAAGCTTTGAGGGCCCTGGGCTGGAGATCTACCCAATAAATGAAGTGGTCAAGAGCACAGTTAGGGGCAGGCTTGTTCCTCACCCCTAGAGACTTTTCCTACCTCTGATTGCATCTGAGGAAAGGCTTGATGTCAAAGCTGTCCTCCATGTCTATGTTAGCCCTAATGGGCACAGAAGCTCGGGAATGCCAGCCTGTCCATACCTGACGACCACATAAGTCTTTCTGTCCCATCTCACACAAATGTGTGTCCTCCGTACTTCTTGTGAACTGGGACAGTCAGCATTTAATTAAAAAAAAAAATAAAAGGGCTTGGCATGGTGGCTCACACCTGTAATCCCAGCACTTTGGGAGGCCAACGTGGGCAGATCCCTTGAGCCCAGGGGTTTGAGACCAGCCTGGGCAACATGGCAAAACCCCATGTCTACAAAAAATGCAAAAATTAGCTGGGCATGGTGGTGTGTGCCTATAGTCCCAGCTATTTGGGAGGCTAAGGTGAGAGGATCACTTGAGGAGGCAGAGGTTGTAGTGAGCCGAGACTGAACCACTGCACTCCAGCCCAGGTGACAGAACAAGACTCTGTCTCAAAAATAAAAATAAGAAAAAGGTGTACTGCATCTGTGGCTTCGGTTCCCTCAGGCCTCCTTCCTCCTCCTCTCTGCCCTCCCCTCTGTTCCTTTCCCGTTTGGGAGAATTGGGTTTGTATCTCCACTATGATTCTTTATTCTTCCCTACTCACGGGTGTATCTGCTTCATTAGCTAAGTTAGAAGAAATGAGATAATGGCAGGGGAGACAGCACATGTTATTTTGAACAGATATTGGATATTTACAGTCCTCAAGGGAGGAGAGAAGGACGAGAGGTCTTTAAGGCACTGCAGCAGCTTTCTCTTAAAAAAAAAAATTCTTGGCTGTGGGTTAGGGGATGTGCAGGTGGAGCACAGGTGGTTTTTAGGGCAAGAAGTGACTCTGTGTGGCACTCTAGTGGGGGAGGCAGAAGGTACAATGCTGAGAGCGAACCCCAATGTAAACGATGGACATCAGATGATAACGCTGTGTTCGGGCAGGTTCAATTGTAAGAAACCACTCTGATGGGGGATGTGGACAGTGAGGGAGGCTGTGCATGTGTGAGGGTATAGGGCAGTCTCTGTACCTTCCACTCAATTTTTCTGTAGACTAAAATTGTTTTAAAAAACAGTCTAAATTAAAAAAAAAAAAGAATCTTTATTGATACATGTGGAAGCAACACTATGAAAGCTGTTCTCATCCTTATCACTCCAGTTTCCAACCCAGAGCACATCTGTCCGCATGTGAGTGGGGAATGACGACCAATATGCCTTTCTTTTGAATTTTTTGAGACAAGGTCTCACTCTGTCACCTAGGCTGTAGTGCAGTGGTGCCATCATGGCTTACTGCAGCCTCGACCTCCCAGGCTCAGGTGTTTCTCTCACCTCAGCATCCTGAGTAGCTGGGACCACAGGTGCATGTCACGTACAAATTATTTTTGTAGAGATGGGGTCTCCTTATGTTGCCCCAGATCATCTCAAACTCCTGGGCTCAAGCAGTCCTCCTGCCTCAGCCTCCAAAATGTTAGGATCAGAGGCATGAGCCACCATACCCACCCAGGCCTTTCAAGAGTGATTTTTATGATATCCTCATGGGAGCAGGGAGGCCCCTAACAATTTTTCCAAATGGAAGTATCTGCGACACATATATGGGGAGAATCAGGACGAGTGTGGAATGACTCGAGAAGCTTACTTTCCATGCAGCCTAAGCACACCATGTGGGCAGGGGACCCTGGGGTCCAGCGTCCCATCTGCAGGAGGTGGGGCTGCCTCAGGAGGGTGGCAAGGTCACTCACCTCCTCCTTCTCTGGGCTGTTCCTCGATTCTACCTCCACTTGCAGGGAGATGGTCTCTCCAATGCTTCTCCTCTTGGATAAGCGATCCTCATCTGGGGAAGAAGCAGCCCAGAAGCTGCAGTTCCTAGTCCTCGGAGGTCCAGGACTGAGCTGCTAGCCCCACCTCCCAACCCCTCTGCCTCTGCTTGGCCCATAGTCCTCAGGCTCAGTGCACGCTCAGGCTACACCTGTAGTTTACAGAAGCTTCTGATTGCTGTGGGCCTTCTCCGTCCATCTTAGAGTGGTCAGTTTTGCTCTTTGGGGCTAATATGTTGAAATCATCAATGAGAACACAAAGAAGGTTCTTATGACCAGAATACATCGCACCTTACATGTAAACATCATCTGCTAATAGCACCAGTAGCTGTCGTCCATCAGTATTTACTAAGTGCATTTGCATTAATACAGGTACCTATCTCATCTACCTCTCACGCCAACCTTCTAAGGCAGCTATTGTTTTTTTTTGTTTTGCTTTTTGCTTTTGTTTTTTGAGATGGAGTCTCACTCTCTCGCCCAGGCTGGAGTGCAATGGTGCAATCTTGGCTTACTGCAACCTCCACTTCCTGAGTTCAAGCAATTTTCTTGCTTCAGCCTCTTGAGTAGCTGGGACTACAGGTGCCTACAACCACACCCAGCTAATTTTTTGTATTTTTAGTAGAGATGGGGTTTCACCGTGTTGCCCAGGTTGGTCTTGAACCTTTGAGCTCAGGCAATCTATCCGTCTCGGCCTCCCAAAGTGCTGGGATTACAGGCATGAGCCACCACACCTGGCCAGCAGCTCTTGTTAATATCCCTGTTTTACAGTCAAGGAAACTGAAATTCATGATGCAAAGGACTTTTCTAAGATCTTTCAGGCAGTAAGTTGCACAAAGGTCTTGAACTGGGTCTCTGGTTCTGTAGCCATGTATGCTTTTTTCAGCACAATGGAGCCTCTCCCATCCTCAGGCCAGGCCATCTCATGGGCCAGGTACTTCCAAGGACCCTGCCCTGAGAATAGGTGGGGCAATCAAGAGGGCCTCACCATAAACTCCCACTGTGTCTTTCAGCTTTCGTGACATCCAAGGTGCCGTACAGGCAATCAAAGGGCCACAAGTCCCTTATACTCAGGCCCTTAACTGGCCAAGGAAACAGAGAGGCAGGCTCGGGTGTCCCTGCACAGAGCTCATACCTGTCAGCTGAGGGATGTAGGGCAGGCAGAGCCGGTCTGAATTGTAGCCACTGCCTCCCAAGACTTCACTGATCTTGCTCTGGCGGAAGAGGAGCTCAATCACTACCCCATCAAGATTCTGAGACAGCCTGGAAGACAAAGGAGGGAGGAAGCACATTAGAATCATGATATCTAGAATGACTTCTGAATAACTTTTTTTTCTGAGACAGAGTTTTGCTTTTGTCGTCCAGGCTAGATTGCAGTAGTGCAAACAGCTTACTGCAACCTCCGCCTCCTGGATTTAAGTGATTCTCGAGCCTCAGGCTCTTGAGTAGCTGGGATTACAGGAACCCACCACCACGCCTGGCTAATTTTTTGTATTTTTAATAGAGATGGGGTTTCATCATATTGGCCAGGCTGGTCTCGAACTCCTGACCTCAGGTGATCCACCCACCTCAGCTTCCCAAGTGCTGGGATGACAGGCATGAGCCACCATGCCTAGCCAACTTTTCTCATTACAAAAGTAACATCTTCACTATGGAAGATGACAGAGAAGTAAAAGGAAGAGTCACCCCTGGTCCCATTTCCAGAGATAACCACTATTCACATGTTATAATGTATTCTTATGCACAACAACTGCATCCTTCAGTTACTGTTTTTTTTAGAGACAGGGTCTCACTGCATTGCCCAGGCTGGAGTGCAGTGGCTGTTCACAGGCACCATCATAGCACATTACAGCCTTGGCCTGCTGGGCTCAAGTGATCTTCCTGTTCACCCTCCCAACAGGCATGCTCCACCACACCCAGCTTTTATTTATTTAATTGTTATTTTTTAGACTGAGTCTCTCCCTGTCGTCCAGGCTGGAGTGCAGTGGCACGATCTCAGCTCACTGCAACTTCCACCTCCCAGGTTCAAGGGATTCTCCTGCCTCAGCCTCCCAAGTAGCTGGGATTACAGGCACGTGCCACCATACCTGGCTAATTTTTGTATTTTGAGTAGAGACAGAGTTTTGCTGTGTTGGCCAGGCTGGTCTCCAACTCCTGATCTCAAGTGATCCACCTGCCTGAACCTCCCAAAGTGCTGGGATTTCAGACATGAGCCACTGTGCCCAGCCTAATTTTTCTTTTTCTTTTTTTTTTTTTTTGAGACAGAGTCTTCCTCTGTCACCCAGGCTGGCGTGCAGTGGCACGACCTCAGCATACAGCAAGTTTTGCCTTCTGGGTTCAAGCAGATTCTCCTGCCTCAGCCTCCCGAGTAGCGTAGCTGGGACTTCAGGTGCGCACCACCGCACCTGGCTAATTTTTGTATTTTTAGTAGAGATGGGGTTTCCCTATGTTGGCCAGGATGGTCTTGAACTCCTGACCTCAAGTGATCCACCCACCTCTGCCTCCCAAAGTGCTGGGATTACAGGCATGAGCCACCGCACTCAGCCCAGGCAAATTTTAAAAAACTTTTTTGTAGACATGGGTTCTTGCTTTGCTGCACATGGTTGTCTGGAACCCATGGGCTGGAGAGAGCCTCCTGCTCTGTCTTCTGAGTCACTGGACCTGCAGGTGTGAGCCACCACACCCAGCTTAGCCACATATTTTTACATATACAGATAGATATCCCCGTCCCCACCCGCTGTTCTGTGATCTATTTTATTGACCTATTATGTAGTGGGTATTTTACATTAAATATTCTTCCAAAACATTGGCACACTTGTCTGTTGTATGGATGGGCCATGATTTATAAAGCCATCCACTACTGTGAGAAATTTTGGTTTTGCAAAATATCGTTCCCTTGAGTTCCTCTGATGTTGAAGTGACATTGGCCCATAGCACCCACGATGGACCGAAAACATCACTTGGATTGACAGTGACGTCTTGTCAGGAATGACTCCTTCAGGATGCATTTGCCATGGGCTTGGCCAAAGCCCCCAGAGGCTGTGCTTCACCTGCGAACACGGCTCAGCATTGCACGCTCGAGGCATGGGCTGCAGTAATGGGATGGGGTTTAGCTTTACCCAGGACTTCCGGACCCCAGGCAGAGCCCACCTTCTGCCCTTGAGTCTGCAGAAGGCCGAGCCTCCTGGCATTGACCCCTCCTGGCCTCAGGCCACCCACCTACTTACTCAGCTGCCCTGGGGATCCCTGACCAGGCCCCCAGTCCTCTCCTCACCTGGGCCTCTCCACAAACACATCCTCGGGGAGCATATATGGAGCTTGTTTCTTCCTGGTCTCTATCACCTGGTGGTTGGGAGGAATCAGATGATAAGAGCTGGTTCAGCAGGGAGAGGGAGCTCACAGGCAATGAAAGAACCCCCATGCCAGGCTCGGCACTTCCTCCCTCCCACAGCCTCCTCAGCACAGTGTCTGAAACTGAGCTTCTCCAGTGGAAACTCCCATCAACAAATACCCTCAGAGCAGCTGGAGAGGCCTAGGAGGCCTGCTCAGCCCATGGCCATCAATGACACATGTGCACTAGGTCTCCTCCATATGGAGGGAACTTAGCTCTTAAGAGACTGCAGCTTCTGGCTCTGGTGTCTCATTCCTATGCTTTTTTTGTTTTTGAGACACAGTCTTGCTCTGTCGTCTAGGCTGGAGGGCAGTGGCACAGTCTCCGCTCACTGCAGCCTCCACCTCCCAGGTTCAAGCGATTCTCCTGCCTCGGCTTCCTGAGTAGCTGGAATTACAGGCATGCACCACCATGCCTGGCTAATTTTTATATTTTTATTAGAGGTTGCCTAGGCTGGTCTTGAACTCCTGACCTCAAATGATTCACCTGCCTTGGCCTTCCAAAGTGCTGGGATTACAGGCATGAGCCACTGCCTCCAGCTTGCTAGTATATTTTAAAGTTAATCCTGTATGTTGGTATCATTCGATCTCTAAACACTTCAGTGTGTTTTGAAAGATCTTTATGCAACAACTGAGAACACATCTGACTATAGAATGGGTGTCAGATAACACCAAGGAATTGGTGATGACTTAATAAGCTGTGTTAAGAGCATGGCAATCACGTAGGGAGGCGCTCATGCTGTTTCAGATGTGCAGACTGATACACTGCATGAAAGGACAGGGTAGCTGGGATTTGTTTTAAAATATTTGTTTTAAAGTATTTACAATTTGTTCAGCAAAGGAAAAGAGAAGGAGATAGATGAGGCCTATGGGAAGAAATTTTCATATCTGTTCATTTCATCTGCGTGGCCATGAATGGACGTTCGCTCACCATCTACTCAGGCCACTTTTGTGGTATTTCATAGCTTTAGTCTGCATGATCTGAGGTATGTGTGCCGATGTGTTCCCGTGAGTAGGGGAAGACAGAGGGGCAGGAAGTGGAGGGGGCAGACAGTAGGTTAGAAACAGGTATAGGAGAGCCCCCCAACCCCTGTGCCTAACTCCACCGTGCTCTGCCAAGTCATACAGGAAGGAAAGATGCTATAAGTAACTAACTTCTCACCATGAGCGGTTCTTACTTCAACCGTGTCTTCACTGTGTAAGACTAGGTACAGAACTAACACAGTTAAGCAAAAGCTGTTCCCAGGAACCCCAAGTTGAGGGCCCCCTGAGTTCAAGCTATTCAAGTCACGAGGACACCAACCTCATGGATGTGCTGGCAGAAGGCAGGCACTGTTGTGAGCTGGCTGATGAGGTTCAGGTAGGCTGCGCCCAGAGCGTAGAGGGCACAGCGGTTGTAGACGGGCAAGTTCTCCTCATTGACCTGGGCTACGTCCTGCAGCAACACAGACATGGCCTCCGGAGTTTTTCACTGACAAACTACACTGGGTGCCAACCCTCCACCCAGCGCCTTCCCAATCTTCTTTAGAAATGCTTTCTTTCCTAGACGAAGTCTTTCTCAGCATTTGACCCATAACTTCCTGGGGGAAAAAGTTGCCTTCATTAAAGGAAGGGAAGGGTCCCTAGAACAATCCATGAGCTGTGAGGCTCTTAAGTACTCACAGACTATAGAGGCAACGACCTCAACTCCCCGCTCTGCAATTCTAGCTGTGGTGACCTCTCCTGCCCACACCCCCATCATTAATCCCACTGCTAGGTGCTATCTCCTTCACTATAGCTGATTCCTAGAGGACTGGATTAGCTGGTTAAACTGGGTTCATATGTTAAGCTAAAATAGCTGTTAGAGTTACCAGGGGAATGGGACACAAAGGAACCCCAAATTCTAACTCTTTTTATTTTCTTTATTTTTAAGATGGGGTTTCACCATGATGGCCAGGCTGGTCTCGAACTCCTGACCTCAGCTGATCCACCCACCTCGGCCTCCCAAAGTGCCAGGATTACAGGCTTGAGCCACCGCGCCTGGCCACTCTTAAGGGTAACTAGAGTTAAAAAGAACTGCAGCATCTAGGTTGACCCTGCAGGATTTTAGCACCATCAGACAGGTGGTCTAAGACTCTGTCACTGAATTCCCAGGGTTGCCCGATTCAGAACTATGATGCCCGCCTGGCTTCAGCACCCTGGAGACCCAGACTTTGAGGTCCAAAGGACCCACCCTGACTCCCAGTAGCCTTGGGTGTACACTTGCAACCAGGAAGACCAGGAAAGTCTCAAGTCCTGCCTGGTGCCACACTGGCTGCCTACGAATCACAAAGGAGGCTTGGTAGACAGGCCCCCAGGCTTTGAGACTGTGACTTATCTTTCCAGGAAATGTACACTTTAAACAAGTGCTCAAAGCAATTCTGAAGCACAGCTCAGATTTTGGGAACCAGAGAATCTTTTTTTTTTTTTTAGAGGGAGTCTTGCTCTGTTGCCCAGGCTGGCATGCAGTGGCACGATCTTGGCTCACTGCAACCTTGGCCTCTAGGGTTCAAGTGATTCTCCTGCCTCAGTCTCCCAGGTAGCTGGAACTACAGGCGCACACCACTATGTCCAGCTAATTTTTTGTATTTTTAGTAGAGACGGGATTTCACTATGTTGGCCAGGCTGCTCTCAAACTCTTGACCTCAAGCCATCCACCCACCTTGGCCTCCTAAAGTGCTGGGATTATAAGCGTGAGCCACTGTGCCTGGCCAAGGGAACCAGAGAATCTTTAGACAAATGAGTTTGTCTGGGATCACTCAGGGCTTACGAGCATCCTCTTAGGAATCCTTGGAGTTTCACTCAGCTCTGTGAGAGAATCAACATACTAGTAGCTAAGTGACACTTCTGAATGATCTGGTTGCCTGGGTCTTCTTTAGCTTGAGGATAGGCCAAGGGCATAAATGAAGCATTCTTTGGGGTTCCCCAACCAGGACCATGATTTGGGGTCTTCAGGGAGGAGTGGCCAACCACGAATGCAATATTCCTGGGTTCCAAAACGACTGTTAAGCAGTTGCCACTCAATATTTTTATCAGGGATTAGCCAAAACAGGTCCCTCCCCTGATCCCAAGCCCCACACCCTGTGCACACCAGGCCCTACCTGAACAGCCAGCACCAGACGGATGAGGTCCACCACCACCTCCTCGTTGGCCAGCTCGATGCTGATGAGGGCCAGCAAGCCATAGAGCGCCTCATAGTGTTTCTGCACATTTGTTTCCTCCTTGCAGCTCAGGTAGATGTGTCTGTAGAGCTGCTGGGAGTGCTGGGGATGGGGGCGGGCAGGGGAAGGCCGGGGTGGGTAGGATAGGGACAGGAGGGGCAAGGAGAACAGGGAGGAAGACCAATCTGAAGATGTGGGGGATGGCTGTGTGTGCCCCCTCCTCCCTTGGGGAGGGGATACCTTTACAGCAGACTCCAGCAGAAGTGGACACACACAGGAAGGCTTGTGTAGGGAAGGTTGGGTTCTAGGGAAACCAGCAATAGAAGCTGCTGCCCAAATCCAGGGGTAGGAGCAGAACACAGTGACTGGCCCTTGACTGGCTCATCCCTCTGGGCTTGACTCCTAGAGAGGCCAGCCGGTCAATCTGACCATGAGGGAGGAGGCATAGCCAAAGAGGGAAGAGGCAGGCTCCAGGGGCAGTCAGTGGTCACCAGTGACTTTTGCTCTGTCACCCAGGCTGGAGTACACTGTCACAATCTCGGTTCACCGCCACAATCTCGGTTCACTGCAATCTCCACCTCCTGGGTTCAATAGATTCTCCTGCTTCAGCCTCCCAAGTAGCTGGGATTACCGGTGCCCACCACCATGCCTGGCTAATTTTTGTACTTTTAGTAAAGAAGGGGTTTTACCATGTTGGCCAGGCTGGTCTTGAGCTCCTGACCTCAAGTGATTCACCTGCCTCAGCTTCCCAAAGTTCTGGATTATAGGTGTGAGCCACTGCACTCGGCCTTCACTGTGTCTTGAGGACATGCTTGCTTACCTTCTTCATGAAGACGGTGTCTTGTCGAGAGCACTTGTCCACTTTCAGCTTTAGGACAGAGATGTCACTGAGGGTACTGGGACGGGATGCAAAGGGCCTCCTTAGCTCTTGTACGAGGCCAGCCTGCACTCACAGGGGGTCACTGGGCTTTATCCCCAACACCGTTAGTCGGTACAAAGCCTCCAGTGCTCCCTGGCCCTGGTTCTTACCCCAATTACCTTTTCCTCTCAAGTTCTCAAGAATTTGTCCCTTTATCTTTCTCTCTTTTTTTTCTTTTTGAGACAGGGTCTTATTTTGTCACCTAGGCTGGACTGCAGTGGCTCGGTGATCACAGCTCTCTGCTGCCTTGACCTCCAGGGCTCAAGCAATCCTCCCAACTCCGCCTCCCAAGGAGCTGGGATCACAGGTGCGAGCCACCACACTCAGCTAATTTTTAAATTTTCTTGTAGAGATGAGGTCTCACTATGTTGCCTGGGCTGGGCTGGAACTCTTGGGCTCAAGTGATCCTCCCGCCTTGGCCTCTCAAAGTGCTGAGATTATAGGCATGAACCACCACACCTGACCCCTTTTTCTTAAATCTTCACTCTGATTATTCTCTTCCTCTTCTTATCCCCACCAGGTCCTTTCAGTCTCCTGATAACGCTGTACCCCTTCCTCCTCACACTTGCAAACTCCCTTTAGTGCCTCCTCTCTATCTTCCAGATCTTCAGTCCACGCTCCTCCTCTCCCAGACGCAAGTGCCCTTTGGTCTCTCCTCCCCTTGCAGGACCCCAGGGTCAATGTTGGTGATCAACTCCCTGGAGAGTCTCACTGAGTAGCTGAACTGTCCTCCCGTCTGGGTGTGAGGCTACTGGCCCAAAGGACAGAACCTACTGGAGAGTCCTCTCCCCATCTTGCATCACCTGAAGGAGACACCCCAAATTCACCTGATGGTAGAGAACTTGTGGCGGTTGCCATGACGATCAATGAAACTGATGAGAATCTCTAGAACAAAGAGTCGAATTTCTGCATCCTCCATGAGGGCGGTGGAGAGGAGGCGGTCCAGGAAGTTGCTGGGCAGGGCTGACATCATGTTGTTGCACTGGAAACCTGTGGATACCTGCAAGGGAGGCATGACAGGTGTGCCTAGGAACACCGTCCCTCTCAGGTGCAGGAGGAGATGGAGGAGCAGTCAGTGGAAGTCCGATCTGATGTATACATCCTCTCTAGACATCGCCCAATCCAGCCTCCCCTACCCTGTAGCCCAGGCAATTTTTTGAACACTCCAACATTCACCTAGATGACATTGAGTTCAGTAGACATGTGAATGGATGGGGACAGCGTGCAGGGACATTAGGGTGTTAAAAGCAAGCAAAGGATGAGCCCTGGAGGGAAGCAAAAGCCGGGCAATCTCTGAACCTAACATTCCAGCCAGTTAGGGCACAACTGATGAACAGCCACCAGGAACACAATGCCTCATTAAGAGTATGACCGTCACAAAGAACGAGACAGTGGAAGAACTCACAGCTGGGCTGATGGATCAGAACTCATACACATGGCAACCACCAAATAGTGCACACAGGTAGCATCTGGTAACATGACTGTTAGCATGGCAATAATGGGGCTTTGTGACTAAAGCCAGTTTGGCATAAATAGATGACATGCCATATATGCTGTCTTCAAAGCATTGAAATGCAGCCAAGCACTTTTCCTGTTAAATCCATATTGCAAAGCAATGACTTTGATGATTCAGAAGGTCCCTGAGGATGTGCCCCACACTGTCACCTTAAGAAGATGCTGGGTACAGGCTGGGCACAGTGGCTCACACCTGTAATCCCAGCACTTTGGGAGGCTGAGGCGGGTAGATCACCTGAGGTCGGGAGTTTGAGACCAGCCTGACCAACATGGAGAAACCCCATCTCTACTAAAAATACAAAATTAGCCAGGCATGGTGGCACATGTCTGTAATCTCAGCTACTCAGGAGGCTGAGGCAGGAAAATTGCTTGAGCCTGGGAGGTGGAGGTTGCAATGAACTGAGGTTGTGCCATTGCACTCCAGTCTGGGCAACAAGAATGAAACTCCATCTCGAGAGAAAAAAAAAAAAGATGCTGGGAACAAATTAGTGAGGGTAAACTCAGAAAAAAAAAAATGGCAGGAATATGGAGCCCAAGTTGATAACCATATGAGGACAGTGCTGGAGCACAAAGGGTTTATAAAAATCTAGTGCCGTGGAGTGTGGACTAGAGAGGAGGGGAGGGAAGGCATGAGGTGGCGGGTGGGGGAGTCTGTTTAGGCTGGCATGGCGAGAACAGAGACAGAGACTGAGAGACAAGATGGGAGGTCTAGGGAGGGAGAAGGGACTGGGGACCTCCCAACTTCAGTCTGAGAAGTTTGAAATCTGATTGTACATCAATTATAAACTGAGGCTGGGCACAGTGGCTCACAAAGTGCTGTAATCCCAGCACTTTGGGAGGCAGAGGTGGACAGATCACTTGAGGTCAGGAGATGAAGACCAGCCTGGCCAACATGGTGAAACTCCATCTCTACTAAAAATATGAAAAATTAGTCAGGCGTGGTGGCAGGTGCCTGTATTCCCAGCTACTTGGGAGGCTGAGGAAGAGAATCGCTTGAACTTAGGAGGCGGATATTGCAGTGAGCCGAGATCGCACCATTGCACTCCAGCCTGGGCAACAAAATCAAAACTCTGTTTCAAAAAAAAAAAATTATAAAGTGAGATCTACTCTGAAATAAGAGGTACCTTGCAGAGAACAGCATTTCTAGACAATTCTTCTTGTAGCTGAGTTTATGCTAGCTGAGGAGGGGCGGTTGTGGGATGTTGTGTTTAGGCCAGGGGTTGTGCTTCAAAATAACCTGGGGAGCTTGTTACAAATACAGATTCTAGGACCTCACTCAGGCTAACAGCTCAAAACCTCTGGGGAATTAATATATTTATCACAAGATTGGCATCGGAATGGTGTTTGAGAGCAATGGATCTAGACTCTAGTGATGGCTGCAAAAATGTAAAGAAGAGTTACATAAAACACTGAGGATGGGAAGGATGGGGACTGGGGGACTGACGTGGGCAAATGTGCCAAGAACACATGCTGGTAAAACAGGGGAAACAGAGGGGGAAAAGGGAAAGAGGGGGTACCTGGAGGGAACCAGGGCGGGAACCAGCAGATTCCATCTCAAGACAGACCATGTCTGAGTGACAAGGCTATCCGTAGCCAATAAGGAACCTTTGTGAAAATTAGAAACAGGTGCCCCACCTGCTCTGGCTGACCCAGCTCTGGGAGTGCCCAGCCTGGCTAGTGAGTGGAGCACAGGCTAGATTTCAGCCCCCATTCAAATGACTGGGAGTATTTGTGTAGTAAGCAACCTGCACAGCTGTGTGTGGAGGCCTTCACTTGGTCCCTTGGAGCTGTCTCCTGCAGAGGAAGAGCAGGAATAGGGATAGATGGGGCTCACCTGCAGGAGGGATTTTAGCAGCATAATCTGGGTCAGTCGGTTCCTGTTCTCCCTGTAGACCAGAGACACAAACACTCAACAGGACTGTAATGGGGTGGAGATCCCACACTTGACAGCTTAGTTCTACCCCTGCTTCGTTTCTTCATGAGGCTTATCATCTTGGGTTACCCAGGACAGTGACTTCTGGACCCAGGAAGCAGACCAAGGGGTGATGGGCTCCCCCCATGGTGGGAGGTGGTTATTGGTGGAGCAGCCTGAGAAATTGTCGTAGGATCCACGAGCCCCACGAGCTGCTGAGGGATTTGAGAGTAAAAGGAGAGCAGAGGGCTGAGCCAAGAAAGTTAAGAGGGATAAAGGAGGGGATCAGAAAATGCCACTGGGAGAGGAGGACTCCGGGCTGGGGGAGATTGGTGGCTCACCCTGTCCTGCCCGTGTCCACCGCCTGGTGCAGGGACGGCAGCGGGACCTTGCTCATGATGAAGAGGATCACCTCGGAGCGCTGGTAGGTGGGCAGCGTGCTGGCAAAGGAGCCTGCGGGAGGTGGGGGAGAGGGCGTCCAGTGAGGCACAAGCTCCAGGGCCCCTCCTGGTTCAGCCTTTCAGTTGCACAAACACCTGCAGAGAGCGAGGGCTGCTGCTCTCTGGAGTCAATCCAGGCCCAGAGAAAGGAACCCAGGATGGCCCAGGTGTGATTCGGCCTCTCTGGTAACGGGAGGCATCAGGTAGCTCTGGAGGTCTCTTCCAGGCTCCGTTTTTTTCTCTTGTTCCTGAGGCTGTGGTTAAGGTCTTGGCTCCTTGGCTAGTGGGTGGGGATGATGAATGCTGGGCCGTGGGACCAGGGCAGGGAGAGCCTAGTTCTCGCTGGGCGCTTGTTTCACCGGCTGCCCTAGGGTAAATCCGCCTCCCACGAACAGCGGCTTCTGCATTCCTGCCCTGCCTAAGTCTCCAGGCTGAGGGGAAGCTCACATGGCCAGGACAGGCAGGCTGTGAAAACGGCTTTATTATCTCCGCTCCCAGGAGCACACACACTTTCTTCCTGGCCTGCCCCCTTCCTCAACCTTTTTTCTTAGTCCCCACCTCTCCCTCCTGGAGGCCCAAACCTGGAAGCACCAGGCAGGTGTGATGGAGACTGGGCTAAGGAAGGTCTGAGACTTCGGACCTGGAAAACCATCCAACTGTTCTGTGCTGTCGCTCGGGCCCTGCCCAGCCAGCGGACCAAGGACCAACTTCATTTTCTCCGATGTCCGCGAATAGCATGTGGGTGCTGGACAATCCTACAGCACGCGGATGGGTGCCCTTCGCCCCAGTGCGGCGCCTCCCTCTCCAGCTCCCATCCCCGGGCCGTCCCCGCGGCCTCGCCCCTTTCGAGGGTCCCTCGGGCCTCCCCTCGGCCCCGCCCAGCCCCTGGCCCGCCCCGCGCCGCCCCTCGGCCCCGCCCCGCGCCGCACCGACGGTCTTGATGACGGCCTCCTGGAACATGCGCTCTTCGTGCTCCTTGATGATCTTGGTGCCGAGGCTGACCGCCCCATCGTAGCTCCCGGTCAGCGCGTAGTCGATGCTGAGCCGCAGCTGCCTCAGCAGCGTGTTGAACATCTCCAGCACCGTGGGCCCTGAGCGCGGCAGAGCGGGACACCCGAGATCCAGGGCTGGCACCCTCCTCCTCCCTGCACCTAGCGCAGGCAGGGCAGGCCCAGGCCGCCGTCCAGCCTGGGCTTCCTCTGCGCCACCAACTTCCCGGCGGACTTCTCCCGAGGAAAACGGCCTCTAACCCCTCCCTGTTGCCCCTTGCCTCTCTCTGGAAGAGGCGGCAGCCTCCGCGGGGTCCCCGGCCCTCAGGCCCTCGCTATGCCCCTTACCCACAGAGCCAGTGGCTGCGATGACCGCGGCTTCGGACAGGACCTCCACGATGCCCGCGCGCACCGTCGCGGCGCTGCGGCTGTTGGCGTCCAGGTGGCCCAGGAGCTGCTGGATAACCAGGTGGGAGTGCTGCGGCTGCGGGAGGAAGATGAGCTGGGCCTGGACAGCAACCCCACGGGGCCCCTGGGCCGCACAGCCCTCTCCTGGCACCCAAAGGTGGGGGTCAACTAAAGGGACGTCCCAAGGCCCCAGACACTGCAGGTGGCACTGACACCTCGTGCCCTTCCTGGATCCTTCCCTCCTCCCTCCAACAAAGAGACAAATCCAGGCCAGAGTGGTGGCTCACGCCTGTAGTCCCAGCACTTTGGGAGGCGGAGGCTGGCAGATCACAAGGCCAGGAGTTCAAGACCATCCTGACCAACATAGTGAACTCCGTCTCTACTAAAAGTACAAAACTTAGCCAGGTGTGGTGACAAACGCCTGTAGTCCCATCTACTCGGGAGGCTGAGGCAGGAGAATCACTTGAATCTGGGAGGTGGAGGTTGCAGTGAGCCAAGATCATGCCACTGCACTCTAGCTTAGGCAACAGAGTAAGACTTCGTTTCCCAAAAAAAAAAAAAGAGTCGAATCCCAGTGGAGGCCTTGACTGACAGTTTTCCAGGGCCCTTGTCCTTCAAAATGGGTCAAAAGACCATTTGAAAATAGTATCTTCCTTTCATTTCCCAGGCTTCAGGTCTTACCAGCAAGGGCCACAAAGGCCACATGGCTTACTCCAGTGTTGCTCAAAGTGTGGCCCCTAGGCTGGCGTCCATGCGAGATGGGTCTGATACTGGTTTACACCGAGGTAAGGACGAGACAGAGTCAGTGCTTACTAAACAACTTGTCAGTGCTATAGCAGCCAAGGGTGTGATCCATAGGCTTGCATTTTGCATGAGTTTTTCATTTAATTTTTCTAAGAATTATTTGTTTTAATTGCATTTTATAAAAGTATTAGTCTGTGATGTATAGGAAATAAAACCAGCCGGCCCTTCTTCACAGCTAGCTTCAGCAGCACTGGATTAGGCAGCTGGTGGCTTTGGAGGAGTCACAGGGGACTTCTGGCTTTCTACTTCAGCACTGGCCTGGTTCCCAGTGGGGCCCCTGTCCCGGGATCTGGCTGGCCTGGGGCGCCACCGTACCTGAATTGAGTACATGATGATTTTAAAGCAACGGATGGCGAACACCTTTGGCTCCCAAAGAGAATGGTTATCCAGATGGCTGTGAGGGAGAGAACGTGGGGGAACAACTATGAAACTCCCGGTGATGTTAGGGAGAAGGGATTAGCTTGGAGGGAGAGGGATGCCTCCTCAGAGCCCCTCGCACAGTTCACAGGTGAGGAAGTGAAGCCTGAAGGGCCTTGGGGCAGTCCCAACCCAGCGCTGGAGAGAGGCCAAGGACAGCGCTCTGCAGCTGTGGATGTGTGCAGTGAAGCTGGGCACCTTCGTTTAGCATTGGGTGCCTTCCTACCGGCAGCCTTTGGCCACCCCATGGCAGCTTCTGCTGTCACAATGCAGGGAACACAGGCACAGGGAAGGGACCAACTTGGCTGTGGCGCCACAACTGTAACATCCCCTTCCTCCCAGCCAGCCAGGAGATGCCAGGGACCTGAAACATGTCCAGGCGGAAGGCTGGGCCAAGGTGGTGGGGTGCGGGTACTCACATGAGAACAGGTTTGATGGCATTTTTGATGTTGCCAAAGGCAGCCCGGCCCAGCAGCTCCCGAAGGCACCTCTCAGCCAGCTCCGCGGGGCTCTCTTTCTCCTTCTCAGGTGCTTGGAGGGGTGAGGGAGACCGGCTGGGAAGACAGAGGCATGTGGGTAGAGGGTGGCATGCAGGCTGGGCTCTGTGCAGTCCTGGCTCTCCGTGCCTCATCCATGCAGGACAAGCAGGAGTCTGACATAGGTCATGCTAAGCAATAGGGGAGGTGTCACAGCTGTCAGAGATTAAACGGGTAAAGAAGCCCCCCACTGTGGGGAGTGAAGGAAGACTGGGGAAGACGAGATAAAGTTCCTTTTCTGGAAATCCTTAAAGATTTCCAGATGTGCCCCTGTGGGAAGGATGCTCTGAGCCCCAGGGGCCAGGCGAGGCGTAGAACATGTGTGTCTTGATGCACCTAAGGCTTCAGAAGGAAAAGGAGACGGGAGATGAAGACAGGGAAGGGGGGCAAAAAACAAAAATGGAAGAAAGGAGAGAAAAGAGAGGGAGGGAAAAGGAAAGGCTCAGTGGTTGGCTCAGGCAAGACTCAGTGATACCCAGGTTACAGGGAGTGAGCCCATATCTGGACCAGAAGAGGAGCCCGAGGACTCCCAGCTCAGAGACCACAGCAGCTTGTCAGTGAGATGCTATTCTAGAAATGGCCACCAGAGGACACACGTACCCCCTTACCCCCACCCCAGTCTCTAGCAGCCTGGGCTCAACCGACCTAACCAGCCTAGTGCACAGGTAGCCCAGGTGGGACAGCAACGTGGACCTTCCTCCCCATTTCTTTTTACAGAGGGGAAAAATGAGGGGACAGGGACAGTAATGAATCCCATGCTTAGGGGGGCTAGGATTAAAACCCAGAATCTGCAAGCTTTTGCTAAGTGGCTGCGGGCTGGTCAAGCATGCACGTTTGCAGGGCCAGAAATAGCATCAGGAAGCAACAGAGGAAGGAAGGTCCAGATGGAAAGTCCACAGTGATCAGAGCCACGAAAGGCATCTTAAAGCCTCCTTGGCCCTGCGTTCAGGGAGACAAAAGGCAACCAGACTCTTGGTTCTGTGTGTTATTACTAACCGATTTACCCCCAGGGAGCCCAGCACCACCACGTCCTTCCTTTGGTAACACAGACATTAGAGGAACTGCGGGCTGGCACAAAGCCAGACCCATGGCTGTAGGGAGCCAGCTTTGGACTCACTGCAGAGCAAGCTACAATGCCACAGTTCCTGGCCTTGCAGCTGGGTTTCACTGACCAACCCAAACCATGTGGTTCCCAAGCAGCCCTTGGAGGGCTGACCATATCCACTGACCCACTCCCCCGCTGCCCGCTTACCTCTCTGCCTCCTCTGCGTGCTGCAGATTGAAAAGCAGTGATGGAACGATCTTGTCCATGTGCTGTGGGTCCCAGATATTGGCCTGCAGTTCATCATTCACCGTCTTCCTCACCACCCCTTGCAGGCCTTTGATTCCTGACATTCGAATTCTGTAAGGAAAAGGGTGAAATGGGACTTGGAAGTCCTCAAGCCCTGAGAAGTCCAGCTTATTGGCTGAGAGAGCAGCACAGCTTGGGAGTTAAGGATACATTTGTCCATCAGAAGGCAGAATGGAGACCACCTGCTACTCTCATGGACCTCCTGGCGCTGGCAGACATGAGCCCAGGAAGCCATGTCTTCTGACTCATCCTGGAGACTCCAGGCTGCCCTTGCCCTAGTACCACCCAGGCTCCAGCCCTAGGGTGCTGGGTGCTCCAGCTCCCCGTGTTTAGTACTCAGCTGGGGTTGTTCCAGCTTGGGCCCAAGATATGAGAGCTTAAAATGCTGCCAAGAACTGATGAGGCAGAATCCAAGGCTGTGAGCAACTTGTGGAGGCTGGGGGAGGCGGATCTGGAGGGAGAGGCACAGAGCAGCAGGCTCTCTGGGCACAGAAGGTTTCAGCCTGGGGCTAGGCTTAACCAGAGGAGAAACTGAGTAACAGCACAGAGGGAGCCACTTTTGTCCACCCCAGTCCCCACTCTGCTGACCCAGCATCAGCATAGCCCTGTGGGAAGAAGCCCTTGTCACTGGCTGTTTATTTCAGCCTGAAGTTTCTTTCTTTTTCTTTTTTTATAAAAACCTTTTTTCTGCTTATAAAATAATACATGCTAATCATAGAAAAGTATAGCGAAGAGCAGATTCACCACTACCACCACCACTCAAAGATAATCGTTACTGGCATTTTGATGGCATTCCTTTCTTCTGTGCATAATATGTTACAGAATTAAGAACCTAGTGCATATTTGATTTGTATTGGCTTTTTTCACATACATTCTATGCATTTTCCTGTGTCATTAACTCTTCATAAACATGTAGAATGGTTGCCTGATACACTATCATAAGATCTTTTTAAACTAGTGACTATTGGTCATTTAAGTTGTTTCCAAAAGTTTTGCTTCTTCCTTTTTTTTTCTTTTTTTTTAAGGCAGAGTCTCACTCTGTTGCCCAGGCTGCAGTCTGGAGTGCAATGGCGCAATCTCGGCTCGCTGCAACCTCTGCCTCTCGGGTTCAAGAGATTCTCCTGCCTCAGCCTCCTGAGTAGCTGGTATTACAGGAGCCCGCCACCATGCCCAGCTAATTTTTGTATTTTTAGTAGAGATGGGTTTCACCATGTTGGTCAGGCTGGTCTCGAACTCCAGACCTCATGATCTGCCCAAGTTGGCCTCTGAAAGTGCTGGGATTACAGGCGTGAGCCCAGCCAAACATTTTGCTTTTATAATAATGCTATGAGGGTCATCATTGTATAAAATAATTTACTACATTTCAAGTCACTGCCATGAGTGGAATCACTGAGTCAAAATGTAAGAAATAAAAGGCAGCCAGGCACAGTGGCTCATACTTGTAACCCCAGCACTTTGGGAGGTCAAGGCCAGTGCATTGCTTGAGCTCTGGAGTTTGAGACCAGGCTGGGCAACATGGCAAAACCTTGTTTCTACAAAAAATTTAAAAATCAGGCTGGGCGTGGTGGCTCACGCTTGTAATCCCAGCACTTTGGGAGGCTGAGGTGAGTGGATCACCTGAAGTCAGGAGTTTGAGACCAGCCTGGCCAACATGATGAAACCCCATCTGTACTAAAAGTACAAAACTTAGCCAGGCCTGGTGGCGGGTGCCTGTAGTCCCAGCTACTCAGCAGGCTAAGGTGGAAGAATCTCTTGAACCCAGGAGATGAAGGTTGCAGTGAGCCGAGATTGTGCCACTGCACTACTGCCTGGGCAACAGAGTGAGACCCTGTCTCAAAAAAAAAAATTAGGTGTGGTGGTGCTACTCAGGAGGCTGGGGCGGAAGGACTGAGTAAGCCTGGGAGGCGAGGTTGCAGTGAGCTGAGATCCTGCCATTGCACTCCAGCCTGGATGACACTCTGTCTCAAAAAAAGAAATGAAAGGCTCCCAAATTGCCAAAATAACTGCCCCCAACCCCCTGCCCATGTGCAAGCCGCAGGAGAATGCCACTCTGACAGTGCCTGCGGCGGATCTCATTTTACACATTGAGGATCTCATTTTACATATTGAGGATCTCGTTTTACACATCTGTTCTAACTTTATGACTCCAAAATATCCTCACATTTTGCAGCTATTTCAATTCACATCATTTTGTGATTATCGGAGATGAGCAGTTTTTCTCAAGGTTGAGTTGCCAGTTGCATTTTAAATTTCAGTTTTAATTGGGGTTGTCAGGGTGCTACCCTGGGCCTTACCAAGGGACCGTGACTGGGGATGGCAGGAGCCTATGAGCACCAGCATACCCTGGTCCAGGAACTTCTAGGGCCACTGGCGGATGGGCAAGGATTCCCTGGAAGCACCTGGCCACACTGACCTGACCTGGACCACATTCAAGACCCTGAGCTGGCAGCTGTCCGAACTTGGGAATGAACGATCAGGAATACTGTCCTACTGACTTTTCTTGGTTCCAGGTTAAAAGGCACTCCCCACCAGACACGGTGGCTCACGCCTGTAATCCCAGTACGTTGGGAGGCTGAGGCAGGCGGATTATAGGGTCAGGAGTTCGAGACCAACCTGACCAACATGGTGAAACCCCATCTCTATTGAAAATACAAAAATTAGCCAGGCTTGGTGGTGTGCGCCTGTAATCCCAGCTACTCAGGAGGCTGAAGCTGGAGTATCACTTGAACCTGGGAGGCGGAGGTTGCAGTGAGCCGAGATCACGCCACTGCACTCCAGCCTGGGCAACAGAGCAAGACTCTGCCTCAAAAAAAAAAAAAAAAAAAAAAAAAAGGCACTCCCCAAGGCTCAAGTGAAACACATCCTCAGCGTGTTGGACTCGTTTGTACCACTCAGAAGGGCTTGGCTGGCAGGAAACCAGGCCTGGTTGGCACAGAAAGTTCTACCCAGGGCTCCCTTATGTGTGCACGTGAATTAATTTTTCTTCTTTCCCTAATTACCTTGCACTCCTTCAGTCTCCCCAGAATCCCTTCCATAAATGCACATGATTCATTCTGTTGCACCCAGAGCTGACCATGCCTTTCAAAACTTCAGAAAGATCAGGCCTAGGGGAGGAGGAAATTTCTTACTGCTCCTATTTATTTATTTATCGAGGCAGAGTCTCACTCTGTCACCCAGGATGGAGTGTGGTGGCACAATCTTGGCTCACTGCAACTTCCATCTCCTTGGCTCAAGTGATTCTTGTGCCTCGGCCACCTGAGTATCTGGGACTACATTTGCACACCGCCACGCCTGGCAAATTTTTTGTATTTTTGATGAAGACAGGGTTTCACCATGTTGGCCAGCCTGGTCTCGAACTCCTGACCTCAAGTGATCTGCCTGCCTCAACCTCCCAAAGTGCTGGGATTACAGGCATGAGCCACTGTGCCTGGCCCTTACTGCTTCTCTTAGTGGGCACAGTGGAGATCTACCCATGACCAAAGGCCCCATGAAGTCTCTGAATCCAAGGGGAGATCAGATAATACTGATGCACTGGCCCTGAGGAATCACACCACCCCCTCACACACTCAAACACACCACACACACACATACCCTACACTCACACCCACCACACACACACCACACACTCACATACTCATATACCACACACACCCCCACACACTCACACATATACACCACACTCACACATACCACACACACACCACACACATGCACTCATATATACCACACACATCACACACACTCACACACTCATATACACCACATATACCACACACACACCCCCACACACTCACACATATACACCACTCACACACACCACACACAC